TATATATAAAAAAGCAAACATTTTTTTTACGAATACTATGCTAATAGAAATTTTACTTATGTTCAGGAATATGCATTCTTAAGTAATGTAAGAAATATAATAATCTAATATATATTCAGAAGATGACAAGCATCTTTATATGTCTTTAAATGTATGTGCACTGACGTGAAATGTATGAAACAGATAAATGTACTGAAATGTAAGACAACGCAATTGAATATATTTTCTACTTTTTAACTTTGTGCAGAAAAAAAAGAGAAAAAGAAAAATGCATTAGCTTCAGGCTTTTCCCAAAGTTGCAGAGCGCCTGTTATGACTCGACTAATGTTCCTGTAAACACATTCATCTCAATATGGCGTCAAAGAAGCATAGCAGCAAAGTGTCATAGCTAAAATGGTGCCCCACCTTTGCGTATATATAAGTACATTAAGCAGAGCACCTATCTATTTCCTGTCATGCATATTTGATATGGAGCGTGCATTACGCGGGAAATTGGAAACCCCGATAGAAATGTGTGGCGCTTCTGTAAATATTATTGCTTCTGGTTGCTTTGAGGATAATCTCTGCTGTAAGTTTGTGAATATAAGTTCAAATATACAAGAATGGGAAGTTATATATATATATATATATATATATATATATATATATATACATATATACATATATACACAGTGGGTAGCAAAATATTTAACACGGTTTTAATAAATTTCACAATAAAAATTGTTCGATTTGCATGATACTTACTTCAAATATTTTAATGAACATTGTCTAACTAAACATAAAGGAAAATTGAGAAGCATTGTTTTTATGTACGAATTGGTAATATTTAGTAGCATAACCTCTGTTCTACCTTACGGTCTCGAGTCGTTTTCTGTAGTTTTCAACGAGCATCTTGCATGAAGATTTTGTCAGTTTCACACATTCTTTTTCACAGATTCTCTTCAGTTCCTCGATATTTTTTGATCTCTTGCGTGTACTCTCAACTTCAATTTTTTCCATAAATTTTCTATTGGATTGAGATCCGGTGATTGGCTTTGCTATCCCAGAACATCAATTCCATTTTCATTGAACCAGTGTTGAGTTGTTCTAGCCATGTACTTTGGATCGTTGTTCTGTTGAAGTAGAAAATCTCGGTCAAGCCTCAAATATGTTGCACTTTTTAATAGATGGGTTGATAAGCTTTGCTTCTATTTTTCTGCATTTATTCTTTCTTCGGTGACTTCCATTTCTCCTACTCCGTTATACGAAAAACAACCCCAAATCATTATACTTCCACCCCGATATTTAACTATTGGGGTGGTGTTTACTGGGATGTATACAGTTCTTTTTTTCCTCCCATACTTTTCTATATATATTTTCCCAAAAGCTCAATTTTCGCATCAGACCAAATAACTTTCTTCCAGAATTCATCTAATTCAAGTTCATAATTTTAATAAATTTCAAATGGCCTCACATGTTTACGTTTTAATAATGGAGTCTTCTCTTTAGCATCTAGAATATGTCAAATCTGTATGATCTAGTGGTTTCAATTGTATCTTTACTTACTTCAATTCCAGCATTTTTTTTTTTCAGATCGTTCTGAATTCTCTTCGAGTCAAAAATGGTTGGTTCTTCATATTCAGTGCTAAATATATCATTCAGTAGCCTCGTTTAATTTACACGGACGACCACTCCTTTGACTATTTTCAATAGTTCATATTTTTTCCACTTTCGGAGAACAACACCCACTGTACACACAAGCAAATTTAAATCTTGAGCAATTTTTCGATACTCCTTACCATCTTTGTGCAGCTTTATAATCTTCTGTCGTATATCAATTGACAATTCTTTTGTTTTAACCATTCTTATAAGTTTAGATATCGGGACAGTCTCTACTGTATCAGACCAGTCATCACTAGTGAGTTTAATACATATATTGAAGACAACCTGTGATTAGTTGAAGTACAAACCATGTTTAAATAACTGAAAATATTTTTAAAATACACTTTTTAGCGTATTATTTGTGTAAGTCAAATTCGAAAATTGGTTATAAAAGTACATAAAAAGAATGTTTCTCAATTTTACTTTATGCTTAGTTAGACAATGTTCATTAAAATATTTGAAGTAAGTATCACTGAAATTGAACGATTTTTTCATTGCGAAATTTATAAAACCCGATGTGCTAAATACTTTTGCTACTCACTGTATATGCTTTATATTAATGCTTTCCAAACACAGAGCCACTCAAGTTAGAATGTTAATGTTTAGTGTTGTATGAGCGAAAGAGAAGGCAAGAAGTGAGGTTTGTGGGGTTATGCAGCAAAGATAGCGGCTAACTCTAGACTTGAAGAGGATTGGGAAAACATCCTGCCGGGAGTCTATTCCATTAAGCAGCAATTCTATTAATGGAATACGAAAGAAATAAGGATGATCCATACTTGTGTACATGCCATGGTGGATCCTGCTTATAAAGGCCAGAGTTGGTAGGTCTATGGAATGTTGCTCGGCAGACCACATAGCATGGAAATAGCGATGGAGCAGCAAGAGACTCACAAAGTTTCATTTGTGTGAAAGAGTGGAAAAGAATTAATTACCTGCTAGTCTGCATAGCGCTTTTGAACACTTGAAGACAGAATATATATATATATATATATATATATATATATATATATATATATATAGCCATGTGAATTGAAAAACCAATATATATATAGCCATGTGAATTGAGAATGAATATATATATATATATATATATATATATATATATATATATATATATATATATATATATATATATTGTTGAAGCTTAAATAAGCATGGAATAATACAACATAAAATGTAATAGATGGGTTAACAAAATGTATTGAAACAAAGAATAGGTACACAATATTTATAGTTAGTTTGGTATATTCTTGGGAAGACTGTTCCTGCATAATGGGTTGACTAAATCGCAGTCGGGCAGAGTCTCTGGATTCAATTTCTTAATCTCTACTATCTTTCCCTGTCTTCCGGTACCAACCCATATTTATATGGTCGGTAGTCCGTTTATGTAAATTAGGTGTATCATACACAACATATATATATTGAGGATTCGAGAGGTGAGTTCGAATTCCAGCCGAATTCATTACATTCAGTTACGTGCTAATACCCTTTTGAAACATGAATCTGTCTCTTCTCGCCAAGCTATGTGTAAATAGCAGGGCAGACTGGGTTCTATATCCTAGATAGTGGCAACCGGTATAAAAAGGGAAAACTTTCAATTCAAACTAGCCTGGAGTGGGTTGGGCTCCGTCAGGATGCCTTGCCAGAAATATACAAGCTCTATAGCGGCTGCAATGCATGTGGTGGTACCTCTACGACACTGACGTGTTACGGGACTCGTGATCTTGATCGTGATATATATATATATATATATATATATATATATATATATATATATATATGAATATTAGTGTTTAAGCCTTTTTATTATATCCTTACTCTGTCCTGGACATTGAGTTCTACCCAGATTCTATCCTCTTGGAATTTTTATTAAAAAAATATACATGTATGTGTATGCACCTATGTATATATATTTATATATTTTGCATGTGTATGTATATATTTACCACTAATATTATCTATCTATCTATCTATCTATCTATCTATCTATCTATATATATATATATATATATATATATATATATATGTGTGTGTGTGTGTGTATGATTGTGTGTGTGTAAATATATTTCTATATTGATGATTGTGCGTGTATGTGTTTTGATTTGAGCCATATGCCATCAAGGCTACCCGGAATTGCCTTGATTACAAGTAGCTCCCACGATAATCAAGCGACTTTCCATCAAAATTTCGAGAAGAGGTGTCTGCATATGCGATAATGAAAAAAAGACACTATCGTATCAGTCTCTTTCTTTTTTAAATGTATTTGTCCATTTAATTTATATTTAGAACGTATTTTTACTGCCAGTGATTTTGGAGGTTATGGCAATTTGGGCTAAAACCTCGAATAAAACAGCGAGTTTTCTGGCGAAGGTTTAGTAAACATACTCTGGAAAATAAGGGATGGTATAGAATTTCCAGGTTTTCAAAAAACCCAATGATGAAATATAATGGTAATGGTAACATTAAGCGCTTCCTTTTAAGAAGACACTTGGAATTTATTAACTGAAAAGACAGTGGTATCGTCAGTTGAAATTTATAAAGTCTTTCTGTTAAAACAATTCTTTAGGAAAATATATTTATTAAGTTCATTGAATGTTATTGCTCTTTCCATTACTGATGAGGGCAATAGAATTACATATATATATATATATATATATATATATATATATATATATATATATATACAATCACCATTATCAAGGATGTATTTTTACTTAACTGTATATGTAGGGGTGTTTTTTTTAAATTTCTTAATACGGTCAGTACATTATGGCCGTGTTCATTATTGATATTATTGAGAGTTGATTTCTTCTGCGCAAATACCCATATGTATTTGTTATATAACACATACACACAACAAACTCGCACATGTGCATACAATGGGTACTTTGGTGCCAATTCTTCATCAATGCAATTTTCTTTGCCAACGCGTTTCGTCCTCTCATGGACTTTATCAAGGTAAATATAAGGGTTTTATTTTTCTCGTTTCTCTACGTTATTTCTTTCATCTTATTGCATTTTTGGTTTGTTTGGTCTCGAATTAATACCGATAATCAAATATAACGTTGACTGTCGGTGTACGAGCATTCATTCATTTCTACATGCACGCATGCGCAACGTGATGTCATGTAACGCGGCAACATTCAGCGACATATAAAATATTAACCTGTTCTTAAAACTCGTCTGAGAATTATGCTTGCCCTTGGTCGCATCTAACAGGGATCAAAACGTTCAAGTTGACATTATTGATCTCGGAAAATCATATAACAGCAAATGAGCCTGTAAACGCGCTGATATTAAACTTGTTAGACGTAAAAGCACAGTGAGCATTACAGTTACTCTCAGAGGAAGTGTCGAAAATGCTTTTACTTCCTGAAAGTTTTCTTACTTTTCTGGTATGCCACCTCTTTCTTTTTTTTTTCTTTTGCCCGATTTATCACGCGGCGTATTGTATGTGTCGTCGTTTGTATGATTCTGTATAAGTTTGTGTGGATGGGTTCAGGAATTCTGGATTTCATGAGCCGGGAAAGCGCATATTTGGAATAATCAGTTTTTTGTTTCTTCTTTAGTTCCTTCCTGCGTATGTACGTTACGCTCTTGGTATTTCTTTTGATGTATCGTTGTCTAAATGCTAGAAAGGAGGCTCAGAACATTATAATTAAACTGACGATAAGCAGCTAGGAAATGGTGATATGTGCCTACATACAATTGTCTGTATACAAATGTTCTGAGTTTGTGTTAATTTAGAAGTCATGGTACAAATGTAAAATAAGTAACACAACTGTCCAACGAACAGAATTAATAATATTTGCAATAGAAAGAAAAAGGGGAAAAAATTAAATGGAATCAGGCAAGCAAGCAAACAATATAAGTAAAGCAAATTCACAAGTAAGAAAGCGAAAAGGTTTACGAACCACCACGCATTAGCGTCTACACAGAAAAGCTACGTCAGGCAAGTGAACCCAACGGTCTGTTTTATAGACAAGGCAGATCTGGACTGAGTCAATTCAAATTGTAAATCAGCCTATTTTATTGACTAAGAAAAAATATCCCAGCATGCATTTTGTGGAGTTTTGCCTATGAAAGGGAAGTAGGGAAACGTTTGTATTCATTTCTTATGGATTGAAATTCAACAGTTCGAATCCTACCGAACAACATTATTTTTTAAATTGAGAATAATGAAATATTTCTTCATTCAGAAAGATAAAAAAACTCTCTCTCTCTCTCTCACTCTCACACTTATTATTATTATCCTAAACGTTACATTTTGTGGGTACACGTGTTTTTGAGAAAATGTCCTGTTTTATCGGCTTGTGCATTGGCGAGACTTAATAAAGAGAAATCTGGTCTCCAGTTGCTTTCGAACCAGCATCACCTTTTGTAGGGGAAACAACATGAGAACAGGTGTGATTTTTAGACCACATAGACTAAGGTTCAATTATAGTTTTTTTAAAGAATGCGGACACACTCGTTCAGATATTGAAAGCTCATATCTGCTCGAAAGGTAATACCTGCTGGCATTTTTATTTTCGTATTCGGAACATAAAGTCATTTCGAATGAAGTAATAGATTTTATTTTTAATACGACATAACTTTAAATGTTATATTGATAAACCACGCGAAATAATATGTCCATGATTTAATAAAACCGATAGTCAGACACTTCCATCAAAGTATTGACACATAAGTTCATGTGCTCAGTCACCGTGAATTTTTAGTTACCCATATTCTTGTTACGCTTTAATAGGATCTAATAACATAACACAGCATTACATTAGATTATATAAAATAAACCGTCACAACTGTTCCTTACAATATATTGGGTAAACTTGCAGAAATGAAAAAAAAAATCGTATCTATGAACACGAAAGGACCTTATACATAATTTATGAAGATATTAGTCATACAGAGAAATAAATTCAACCACAAATTCCATCTGAAGAATGTCATACTTATTAAAAGAGAAATAACTTACTTAGACGAAAAATTCTTGCCAGTGCCGCTATCGATTCTTATCAAAATATAAATCTGCATCTCCTTTCCTAAAAGAAATACTCCTTTTCCAAGCCAACATACGTTACCAGAAAGATTTAAAAAATTAAAATAAAACGGTTTTATTAAAAAAATTCCATTATTTAAAATAAATACATGAACTAATTGTCCAAAGTAAACTAAAATAATAAATAATAATTACGTTAAAAAAATCACCTGCAACAATAACATTTACCTAATTTGATTTATAAGGCATTAAATTAGGTACGTCCATTGAATTTTCAATACTTAAGGTTTAAAATGAAGTTTTAATAATGAAAAAGCATCCTTGAAGATTTCATTTTAGTTTTAATTGAAAGCTAAAATATTAAATTTACCATTTCCAGTAAGTAAAACATTCTGGTGTATATATACTTTATATATATGGTGTATTTTGGTTAAATAGATCGGAATCTTAACTTTTTGGGTGATTTTAGAAAATATTCTTACAAGCGAGCATTTTCTTAATTTTAAGAATTTTTTAAACAAAACAAAATTATCGATTTTAAAAATCTTCCAAAAATAAAACATATATTTGTGACACGTTATTTGAGTAAAATTAGCAAATTTGAAGTTAAATTAATCTGATTTGAAATAAACATTACTTACTTATAGCATAAAGAATGCAATATGCAAGCATTTCTTCACGACGGGTCCATTTTTTCTTTTATCTTTATTAACATATTTATAAATTCCAAGATGATGACATCTAGTATGGATAACCAGAATTGACATAAATTTAATTTAATATAAATCGCGTAGTTTACCTTGACTTTCACGGTTAGCTTGAAGAATATTTATGAACGTTCTTAAATAAAAAAAAAAATGAAAACCTAACGACATTTCTATTTCTGTTTATAAACACTTGTTGCAAAATACAATCCTTGCATATACCTTGATATATTCCATCAGAGGACAAAACGTGTCGGTAAAGAAAAGTTTTCATTTTCCTTTTCTTTCTCTCTCTCTCTCTCTCTCTCTATATATATATATATATATATATATATATATATATATATATATATATATGACGTCACACTATACGAAATGGACACTGCCCGACGATTATTTTTAATATATTTTATTGTTTTTTACGATATTTATATAGACACAAATATTTAAGTAAATGCATGTCTATAATAAATAGTATAATAATATTTACCGGTCTGAACGGAGGACACGTATTTTCTATGAAAATTTCTCGCACGTTCAGGCCGGTAAATGTTAATACTGTTTATTATAGACAGACCAACAATAAAATATATTAAAAATAATATATATATATATATATATATATATATATATATATATGTGTGTGTGTGTGTGTGTGTGTGTGTGTGTGTTTGTGTGTTTGTTGGAATTCGAACTCATAAATTTTGTATATTGTTGACAGTTATTTTTTAATCGTTTCATCCCAAACAAGGTGATAAAGTCAGTAAGACGCAAGGGGTCACTGAGTATGAAAGAATCTGATGAAAAAATTATTAAAGACAAAAAACAGGATTGAAGGAGACACAAGATGACGTGCGTCATTTATTACTATTTCATGGCGGCTTATCATTTGTGTAGTTATAATGATCTGAATTCTTCCATCTATCTATCTATCTATCTATCTATCTATCTATCTATAAATGAAAGAGAAAGCAACAGCTGGAAAAGTCAGTTCAAAGTAAACTAACTCCAAGACTAACCCACTAATATATATATATATATATATATATACTGATAAATTATCTCTTCGAATTTCAACTTTATTGATGCTAATCATAATGTTATTTCTCTGCATTTTCTTAATCAGCATGTTAGAAGAATAAGTAAGGAACTATTACTGATCTGTCTGCACTCTCCCCCGTCAGCCATAGCGGCATATCAGTGACGATATTTTAATAATAGTAATAATAAATTATTGCAATAGCATTTTTAAATAATCATAACGTTACATATATAAAAGGAAAATGACTTAACGTTGATGATGTGCTGTTGACGGTAACGATTAAGCGAGAGAATTTTAAAGTAATGTTTTCTTATTAGTTATTAAAATAAAGGTTGATTATTAGTAATTAAAATAAAGGTTGCCTATTGTTAAAATAAATGCTGCATGTTAGTAGGTATCTCGATTAATCCGCTTTAAAAAGAGCATACCATGATGAAAAAAATGCTCCAAATTTGATAAAAACAAAATTTTATCGACAAAATCTTTATGTTACTATGAAGAGGAAAGACCAAAGTATCTTTTTGTATTATTTAATTAAATTTTTAATACTTTTGTTTATAAAAAACATTAAAAATATTAAAAAATCTTTTGTTTTTGCGTTAGCGTAGGGGGTGGCAAATATGAATTAATGATTAGTATAGGAAATTTTAGCGTCTTTTTTTGCGGTAAGAACACATTGATTTTTAATGAAACTTTCAGCAGTTATTCACAAATGAATTCAATTATTTAAGAAAACCTTGGTAAAAATCTTTTTTTTTTTTTTTTACATTTGTTACCCCACACTTACTTTATGAAATTTTGAGAAATTAAATTTTACCCTCTTAATATTTACATTAGTTAAAAGCAGAATTCTTTGGAGAATTTAAATCATTTTGTTTTTGTCAAACAGAAACACCATTTACAGAAAATTTGCTCAAAATCGTAAAATAAAAAAATGCTAAAAACTAAGAAATTAATTAATTAGAAAAGTTTTTAATTACTTTTATAAATAAGATATATTAAGGATACTAATTTATTTAAATGAATAATGAATTTTTACAAGAACAGTGTCCATATAGAAAAAAATTTAATAGGAATAATTCATTGTTTTAAATCTTTTCAAATCCTGTATTAATTTTACCCTTTTAGATGATAATATTATTAAGCAAAAACTATAATCAAACACCAATATTTTAAAAAGTATTTTGAATGACTTTTTATGTGTATAAACGTGCAAATTTTTGATACAACTGTTCATACTCAGCATTATCAGAAAATGAGAGCGATAACTATAGTAAATTTAAACCTAAGTATCTAAAATTCAATATAACATATTAGATTATGGAGAAAATTTTCCTAAATTGTTAAGATTACTGAGTACCTGAAAATTATATAAAAAGGCGCTCATATTACATTCTTCAGTTATTTTTACAGATAAAGCTGCCATAGAAAAACATTAGATAAACACTCATTTGGCAATAAGCTGTCAACATGTCAACAACTCATATAAACAGTTATTTGAAACTTAAAGTAAATAATATTTATTTCAAATCCGATTAGTTATACTTTGAATCAGCCAATATTCCTGAATAAGGTTGGAAAAGTATATTTTATTTCTGAAAGCTTTTCAAATAAAGAAAAATAGATTTCGCTAAACAAGGGCTCAAATGGCGCTGAAAACAAATTTTTGAGCAAAAAATATTCTAGTCAATTTAAATTCATTTTAAAATAGAGCAATATATTTTGCTTATTGGAAATGTTAAGTTTAATCTATTAGCTAAAAATTACAACTAAAATGAAAGTTTCAAAAAAGATTTTTCATTTTTAAAAATTTATTTGAAACCTGAGGTATCGCGAATCTATAGAGGTACATACTTATTACTTATTGAAAAAAAGATTGCTTGTTAGTTGTTTTTGGTTTTACTGTACACAGTGCTATCTACATGTTCGATGAATTTGAAATTGAAAAAATACTCTAAAATCCAATTTTCCAACGTGTCTATGAAGTATATTTTTTATTTTTATATTTTTTTACGTTAAAGCCAGCAGATTTTTTCTCCCCAAAGTCTCCTACATTCGGTTTGCGCGCTCTGTTCAAATTCGATGAATTTAGGAGTAGCACTTCGTATATATGTAATTTTAAGAGGTATAATAATTTTTATAAATGAAATTGTTTTCAACGCCTACTTGGGATGACAACGGGAATAAGGGATGACAAGAGAAAAATGAAGAGATATAAAGAAAGATTTATTATTTAATGTCTTGTGCACATTTCTGTTATTTTCTATGATGGAAAGTATTATTTGAAATTCGAGTTTTTGCTTTTATATTCATTACTGCATCATCTTTTAAATTTAAATTCCGTTATTTGCACAAAACTCTTTGATTATTAATTGCAGGTGAACACACGCAGATATTGATTCACTTAAGTAAAAATACTGCCCATTTAAACAATGTGTAAATCATATGAGACTAAACTCATGATAGTCAGTTTGCTATTTCTGTAAAATTACATGAATTCCTTTAACGGATTTTACGCCCGAATTTGGCTGTAGAATGAATCAGCCAGCGTTCAATAGTCCGGGCAACTTCAGAAAAACTATGTTCTCGGTCTTCAGTGAACATAACAAAGAGAACAAAGAGTATTTTGCTTAAGTTTAATCTATTAGCTAAAAATTACAACTAAAATGAAAGTTTCAAAAAAAGATTTTTCATTTTTAAAAATTCATTTTAAACCTGAGGTATCGCGAATCTATAGAGATACATACTTATTAGTTATTGAAAAAAAGATTAGTCCTGATTGTCAGTTCGCTATTTCTGTAAAATAACATGAATTTCTTTAACGGATTTTACGCCCGAATTTGGCTGTAGAATGAATCAGCCAGCGTTCAATAGTCCGGGCAACTTCAGAAAAACTATGTTCCGTTAAAATTATTTTTACTCGGTCTTCAGTGAACGTAACAAAGAGAAGACACTGAAGAGATATATGACTTCTTTAAAGAGGACCATCGTCTCCTGAGGTACTGACTTGAGTAATGGATACAGCTGACGAGACTTTTTGATACTTCAATAGTTTTTAAACAATAGCTCTCATTAAATCTGAATTCAAAAGTTTGCGGAAAGATCGCAGCGACACAAGATTGGTGACCATTATATACAGGAATCCCGCTCTTGTAGCCACTATGGTCGAACAAGTCTTGGCAATCCTAAACGAGACCGTGGAAGACCTCTATCTCCAGTTAAAGCTCAATGTACACTACAGAGCAAGAATACAATATAAAAGGCTCAAACACTTGTAGGTCTGATGAATTGGATCGTGATTACGATTCCAATGTAATAAATTATAACCATGGAATATTAGTGTTCGAGCCATTTATATTATATATATATAAATGCGTGTGTGTGTGTGTGCACGCGCACATGTATGTATGTAAGCAACTAATATTTATTTAAAAATAAAAGACAAACTATTGATGGTAAAATATGGAAAAAACAAAACAGTAACAATAAAAGCAGAAAATAAAAAAAAAGTAATTTTTTTATGATACGGAAGACCAGCTGTAGAATTTTGTAAGCGGCTTCGCCTTCAGTGGTTTTCGTAAAAAAATTATGAAACCAGAAATACAAAGACAAGGTGTTGACCGTTTCAAAAAACATGTCTACGGCTAACGTCAGATTGTGTGACACTTAGACTACTGATGATTTCACTTGGCAGTAGTAACAAGAAGAAAAGGCATAGAAGCGTTAATCTGTACCTTTGAGGAGTGGGGATTTTCGGGCAGCTGCAAAATAAAGTGCTAATCAGATTAGAACACGTGATAATTTCAAGATTCTGAACACTTTGTTTTTATGTAGGTAATTTGTTGTATTTTATTTCGCATTGTTTTATTATTAAAAAGCTGATAATTTTTTTTTATCATGGTGGTATCGCAAGTTTTACAAGTATATAAATACACCTATCGTCTACTGTAGATCTGATGTTTTACGCTTTGCTTTTTTTAAAAAGCTTGTCTGTTCATATATATATATAAATCACTGTCGATAATAGTAATTACATAAAATAATACCCCCTATCCCATAATAGTTCTTAAATTTGCATATACATTTTAAATCTAAATGGAACAACTATTATGAGGTGTGGTTATTGTATGGTCTCTGTCCCATAATAATTGCTACATTTGTAAACATATATGTATCAACTATTATGGGATAAAAGTAGTAACTGCTTTATAGAATTAATTTTGGGGATTACCACACATATCTGTCAAGTAACTTTGGTTAATGACCGCTAGGTGACGTTGTGTAAAATAATATATAAAGAAAACGGTGCAAAGTCTTTCTCTCTCGGGTTCCGACCACGTGAGCGACAACACTTTTTTTCTACCTATATTCGTGATATTTAAGTAATTTATTCCTTACGAAGATCGTGTATGAATACTCGACAATTTCAAACGATGAAGTTCCTTTCCTTCCAATGTAACAACCACTTATAATTTTGTAAACGTGTTTTATTAATGGGAAATGGACGACATAGGTGTTCATATTTGGAATAAGATGATCTTGAACAAAAAAAAAAAAAAAAAAAAAAATCCGCTAACTTAATATAAACCTTTCCAAAGCTATGATTTGGAATTGGAGTGAAAGTAGTAATGGTATGTATTCTGAGTCCGTCATAAAATTCAGGATCTGGAATAAATAAATACGAAACACTTTAGATACATTTCGATCAGTTATAACAAATTTAGTATAGGCGATAAGGAAACTTAAAATACAGGGTAGGCCATAAATTTCCATACGGATGGAATTCGGTAAATGGGCATTAATCAAAGTGAACGAGGATGCAAACTTTTCAACTAAGATTTTGTTTACTGATAAAGCAAATTTTTACGTCAATGGAAAGGTTAATCGGCAAAACCTACGTTATTGGAGTAATGAAGACCAACAAAGATGCAAGGTGCCGGTAAATTGATGGAGTG